TTTTTACTGCATTATCACAAATATTAGTGTGCAAAACAATGTGGAACAAGAGTGTTTTAATGACAAAAGTAAGCGAGGCTTAGGTTACAAAATCGTGGTGAAATGTGACAAATGCGAACCAACTGTCATCAATGCTGTTCCAGTTATTGAAAAAAATGCATACGATATAAATCGCCATATTATTTTTGCCATGAGATTGCTCGGCATCGGTCTTCATGGCATAACAAAATTCTGCGCTTTTATGGATTTACCACACCCAATTTTTCATTCTTTCTACGACACTGTTATTAAAAATATATTTACCGCTACTACTGTTGTTCGTGAAAAGTCGTTAAAAAAAGCTGCTGCAGGAGAAAAACAAATTAGTGAAAAAAATGGTCACAACTGCTTAACAGTATCCGGCGATGGATTATGGCGCAAAAGAGGATTTTCATCTTTGTTTGGCATCGCTACATTGATTGGATAGTTTACTGGTAAAGTTGTAGATGTTATTGTGAAATCCAAATATTGCAAAATGTGTGAGTTCTGGGAGAAGAAAACAGACTCTGCTGAATACGAAGAGTGGGCAAAAAATCATCATAATCAATGCCAAGCAAACCACGAAGGTTCGTCCGTTAAGATGGAAGTGGACGCTATTGTGGAAATGTTTTGCCGATCTGAAGAATTACATGGTGTTAAATATTCTAACTACGTGGGTGACGGAGACAGCAAAACATTTAAAGGCATATTAGATTGTGAGCCTTACGACAATTTTACTGTGTGCAAAAAGGAGTGTGTAGGCCATGTGCAAAAACGCATGGGTACTCGGCTTAGAAATTTAAAAAAAAACAGTAAAGGTCTGGGTGGAAAGGGTAAGCTTACCGGTAAATTAATAGATGAATTGACAATTTATTATGGCTTAGCAATCAGGCGTAATGTCGATTCAGTCGAAAAAACGAAGAAAGAAATCTGGGCAACATTGTATCATAAAATATCGACTGACGAAAAACCACAGCACGACTTTTGCTCTGCCGGCGAAAACTCTTGGTGTTCCTACCAAAAAGCGAAGGCAACTAACAAACTTTCAGAATACAAGCATAAAACACCAATGAAATATGTTGTTTTCGATGCTGTTAAACCGATTTATGAAGAATTAAGTAAAGACGAACTTTTATTAAGATGTTTAGGAGGCTTCACGCAAAACAGCAATGAAAGTTTTAACGCGACTGTGTGGGCACTGGCACCAAAATCTTATGCAAGTGGAAAAAAAATAATTGACATTGCAACAAATATTGCTGTTTGTAATTTCAACGATGGATTCAGGAGCATAATGGAAATTATGGAAGTTTTAAATCTTTGTGTGGGCCCCAATTGTTACAATTTTTGTGAGGAAGCGGACGCGCGGCGCATTAAAGCGGCTGAGCACAGTCTGACCGACGCAGCAAAAGAGGCCAGAAAATCGTTATTATCCACTAAAAAGAAAGCTGATGAAGCTGATACAGAGGTGGAAGGGCAGCTTTATGGGGCAGGCATCGCAGACTAAAGGTAAAATTAAAATTTTTATTTTTATAGACAAAAAATCCTCTTGAAAAACTTTAAACGTGTTTTTCTCAAAACAGCATTTTTAAAATCGGTGTACAATATAACTTTTACAGTTTTTATCCGATTTACTTGAAATTTTAATAGTATATTCTTCAATGTATTCTGCAAAGAAGTACGTAGGCTTTTTCCAAAATATTGAAAACTCTTTTTGCAATTAACATTTTTATATGTAAATTTTAGGACAAAAATGCAAGTTTTTAGTAAAATAGTTGCCATTTTGAGAAAAATCAATATTTTGAAAAATCCCTACGTACTTCTTTAGTTTTTGATATGTAGATTATGAAAATCTTTCGTTTTTTGTTCCAGGTCAAACCGTGTGTCTGAAATCCTGTACACCGATTTCAAGTTGCAGAAAAACAGGATTTTGCAAGTGAGCTAGTGTACCGCCATTTTCAATATTAAAAATATTAAAAAAATATTTTTTTACTATGTTTTATATGTACAATAAAGCCCTTTAAACAGATTTTTAATAAAGTCATTCATTTACCCAAAAAAAATTCCTAAACTTATGCATGATTTTAAGGCCTCAGGGGTGGCCTAACCCCTTAATACATATATTAATTAATCTTACATATATGTGCTTAATCACCGTGTTTGTGCACATTTGAAATAATTTACAACAAGCTAAAGAAAGTTTAGTTATCAGAAATAATAAGAAGAAATACAGATACCAATTATTTCGACATTAAATGGTAGAATCTTCATTTATAAAAATAAAATTAAAAATCAAGTCGATAAACTATTAGAACAAAATATCATTCAACCATTTATCTCACCATATATAACTCGCCACATAACCGTTACGGGTAGTACCAAAATCATCTACATTTTTACACCAAGAAAATGCGATAGGAATGTTGATTGAACGAGATAATAAAGGAATATTTTATATAAGTCAACCAAAGTATATAAGAAAAATAGTGGATTCAGTTGGGCTTCAAGATGCAAAGACTTCGAGCTATCCATTAGATCCGGGATATGAAAAAACAGAAAACCCAAATGAAACAATGAAGGATAGTACAAAATATCAAAAGCTAATTGGAGAATTACTTTACATTGCTATACATTCACGACCAGATATAGCAGCGAGTGTTTCAATTTTAAGTCGAAGAATAAAATGCGCCAAATATTCAGATTGGACAGAAGCTAAAAGAATAGTAAGATACTTAAAGAGAACAATTAACTGAAAACTCAAACTCGGAAGTGATGTGGAAGAAGATGAAACAACACTAGTTGGATATGCAGATGCTGATTGAGCACAGAGCAAGATGGACCGCAAATCTAACAGCGAATTTATCCTTATGTTAAATAAAGGTGCAATAAGCTGGGCATGACAAAAGCAGACTTGCGTTGCGCTCTCTACAACAGAAGCTGAGTACATCGCACTTGCCGAGGCTTGTCAAGAAGCAATTTGAATTAAAAGATTATTAGAAGAATTTAGAATAATCGCGGCGGTACCAATAAAAATCTATGAAGATAATCAGAGTTGCTTAAAATTACTATCCGCAAAAAGTTTTAATAACAGAAGAAAATTTTTGTTTTGTAAGACAACTAAAGGAAAGGAACATAATAGATTTTGTATACTGTCAGACATCAGAGATGTTAGCAGATATGCTAACGAAACCATTACATGGTATCAAATTGAAAAAGCTTGCAGAACTCAGCGGTTTAAAGGATTGGAGTAAATAATGTTGTCGGTGAGAAGGAGTGTTGGAGCATTGTGATTGGCGATTCACGGAGCTACGTGGCGCTGTGTGGCGCTGAACACCGAAAACATTCATATATATATGTATATATAAGAAGAGAGGAAACGAACGCTGTATCCACGTTGTCTTTTCGCTTCATATTAAATAATTATAATTGTATTTCTGTTCTCATTATTTGTGTTCTCCAGTTCCCTGCCTGCGTTTAATCTATATAAAGAAGGCACACTGCTCAACGTTATTTTCCAACAAATTCGCTAATCACCGAATTTATATCATGAATATAATAAATAACGCTAGAAATTTCCTATTACAGTAAGTAATTCTTTACCCATTTTTTATTGCAGTAAGAAATAAATTTGCAAGTTTAATAACGGACATACCGTTATTGTGAACTTCAAGTTCTTTTGCTTTATTAAACTATTTATGCAATGGCTGCAATAATAGTACAACAATAGCTCTGACACAATCGCCAATAAATACACTTTTGGCTCTCCTAAAGAATTGCTGTACTACTAGGGTAGTAACATTTCGGAAGAATTAATGAAAAAAGTTGCAAAAATTTTCAAAATAAAACAAATAAAAACGAGCGTTTACCATCTTCAATCAAACGGGGCATTGGAACGTTCACATCCACGTATCGGCTGAATATTTAAAACCGTATATCAATCAAAACCAATCAAGACATTGGGATTCGTTTCTAGCCGCCATGTTTTCGTACAATACCGTGTATCATAAAGGAACTGAAATATCTCCATATGAATTAATATTCGGAAAAAGACCGCAATTACCTTCTGTATTCATAGAATCACGGCAAGAAATTACTCATAAAGAGTTTCTCGTAGATCTTATGGACAAATTAAATTATCTAAAGATCTAACCGCAACTATCTAACCGCAAAGGAAAATTTAATGAAAGCAAAGAATGAATCTAACTAAGATCCTCGCCAAAAACCGTGAGGGGTGGTTTAAGACCTATTTTAAGACCATTAGACCTATATTATATTATATTATATTAGACTATTAAACCTATAAAGGGCGAAGCTCTTGTCCGCCTCTCTGTAGTGCGGAAACCGCGTGGATTTGCCGAAAATCTATATTTCTATCTATACCAGAAAAATATATTTATACAGAAACAGAAGAGACAATAGAAAACAAAGCTAAATTTCTACAAATAGTCCATAACGATTCATCAAGAAGAGATCTTAAGATTCAACATAAAACTAATTCGTATCTTGAAGCTACATATCCTGCGCAAAGATTCAACCGAAGTCGTCGAATCTTTCACTAAGGATTCCGAAATCTCCTTATCAGAAATCGACATTGATTTTGACCTCAAACATAAACTAGCTTTTATGAACCCGAATCCCTCAGTTAGGGCAATATAGATTAAGCGTAGATATAAGCTAGTATAAGGATAGATTTAAGTTAGTTAGTTTTAAGGATAATCTTAAGAATAGACGTAAGTTACTTGTAAGTAAAATGTATGAGAGTTAACCCCAAGGGAAAACAATAAAATACTACTACTACTATTACACTAGCTTTAGCACAGGTTCTTGCAGAGGGTAGCTGATACGCCATTCGAGCCAGCCAACGAGGATGACTACCTCGTCAAGGTGGCATTAAAGGACGACTCCACGCACGCGTTTGCTCCTAGACGTTTTGCCTGGTCGGAACGGATTCAAATCCGTCAGATTATAGACGATCTTCTCGATCGCGGCATCGTCAAGCTTAGTACGTCGCCCTTTCTTAAAAATATTCATAAAATACCTAGTATTGAAGATATTGTAAGCACCTGTCATTGCTGATATTGATATCAATACTCTAAAGATGGGGACACTAATCATAGAGAGAGGGATTATGACTCATGGATTTCGGAGAAGTAGCCGATTTCCGAGAACCGAAAGCAAGTCTTAAACCCGCGGCACACGATACTATTTTCTCTGCTGGATTGCTTACGTGCGCTTGTGCTGGCAATCTTGCTGTCTGCTAGACTGAAAATTGTGTGTCTACTGGTCACCCTACTGATTGATATGCTGGATTTCCATAATAGAACAGGTGCTATTTTTCTTGCGTGGTTCTGTGCTGTCTCATTGCAACAGCCAATCACGACACAACCTCATTAGTTAGGTTAAGTTAAACATGAAAGTATTTTCTTGATTGATATTAGTATTGTTATACATTAACTATGATGTCCATAGCAAATTGCAAAGCAAAAAATAAACAAAAATGGACAAAGGATACTATTGTAAGCCTAATAGAGGCCTATAAAGAAGAAATATGCTTATATGCGGTAAATACGCCCAATTATCATAATAAACCTGTCCGAAATGAAGCATTGAAAAAAGTGTGTGCCGCTGTCTCAGTGTTTAGACCCGGAATTACAGAAAATGAATGTGCAGCAAAATTTTATAATTTACGAAACCAATTCAATATTGAAAATACTAAAGTGAAAGCATCAATGAAATCTGGAACTGGCACTGATGATGTAAATATGAAATTTTAACCTTTAGCAACTTTAACCTTTTCTAATATTTTGTATAATTATTTTGTATAAATATTTTTTATTGTTTTATGTGCAAGATTTTTTAAAAAATATTTACAGGTATACAAACCAAATCTCTGGTACTTTAATCATTTGAAATACTTAGCAAATTATTTTACACCTCGGAAAAGCAGGAATTCTATAGAGAAAAATTCTGCAAAAAATCTATTGACTTCCACTCAGGTAAAATGTAATGATTTTTTAAATTAAAAGTTAAATAATTTACGAATTATTACAAATTTTTGTCTAAACTATTAAAATTTTATTCAAATGCTTTTATTTAAAAACGAGCAATTATTTATTTTTTATACTGTTTATATATTTTTAATTGTATCTAGTTAGCAATCCAGCAGAGAAAATAATACCGTGTGCCGCGGGCTTTAGAGACAGATTCAATCCTCGTTCGCGAGACTAGTAATGTCTCAATAGTGCCAATAAAAAAAATTTTAAAAAAATTCTTCAATGCTTAAAGTTTCATAGTAAATCAAACCAGAGGTTTCGCTCCACCTTTTAATTAAAAGGTAAACTTTTCAATTGTTTCTGATATTTCATAAAAACGTAAAAATCTATCTGATTATTAATTGGATATTATTATTAAATTATGACGATAACACTAGGGTCTTATAATCGCTTCGCTTCTGAAAATTATTGCCAATAAATTACATGTCGTGTTGTAAGGCCTATCGTCAAAATAAGATGAACGTTACACGCACGGTGGCAATGATTACGAGGTGATGCGCGGATCTGCATATTATCATCATATTTCTGACGCTGCTCTAAATCTCGTCGTATCCCATTAAGGTGTCGACAAAGCTATGAGAGTGAAAAAAAAGACGCGATGCAATGGCTGTCAAAAGATTCGACCGACAAAAAAAAATTAAGAAATCGATCTAGCCTCATCCCCTACCAGTGTTTTTATAAACATTCCTATGTGAGGGCCCCATGCGTGTGATTAATGAGAATCTCTGCCGAGAAAATCGAGCATTCTTCGATTTTGCACTGCCGCGTTGCGAGTGCCTTGGGCTGCCTCAGGCTGTTTAAGCCGCATTCATACTGCGCCCTGTGTCGCAAAGCTGATAAACGAATTGTCGATAAACTGACAACCAAAATTGGATAACTTCGTGATCGTATTTTTTTTTTTTCAATTAGATTAGGTATGCGTAGCACGTGGAATCCCCCCGAATTCTCCACCAATTTCCGTAATCGACAAGCAAACAGTGCAGTAAAGAACATGTTAAGAACATGTTAAGACTGGAACCAGTAGGTATCGCGGACCGATTGAGCGTGGACTCGAAGGAAATATTAACTATGCTGTTTTGTCTGATTTATAACTGCGAAATATAATAACGTGAACGGACGGCGTCGCCCACGCCCGGGTAGCAACGCGCTGCTCGGGACGCGGTGCGTATAGGCAGGCGATATAGTTAATTTACAGGGTGGTAACGTACCGCGTTAACGTTGTACTGGAAAATAATTCCGCCCACGCGCGTCTTGCCGACGCGGCGATCGCGTAATGCAAAACTCCGGTTCCGGGCTATAAGCGTATATCAAGTAGCTAAGAGAGAATGCGTCGCCGATGTTCCATTCTTTCTTTTATTTGTCTTTGTATCGATAGCGCGACCACTGAGGGTCGGTTGTGTTTCAACTATTTGATAGACTTTACCTCTCAGTTACCTAAATTAAATATCAGTAAATATCGGTAACTGCTGTTCTATCTTGATAAAATTTACGTACGGGTTAAATTGTTATTACCAAGAGGTAATTTTACTCGGTATTCTAATCACCGAGTAAGGATTATTATGACATTTATTTCAGGTAACTGAGAGGTAAAGTCTATTTATAGGAACAAGAGAGATGCAAATGATAGCTGAAAAATCAATCAATGCTTACATATTTTAACACTTTACATTAATGTATAAACTTACATTTTAATCAAAATAATTAACGCTTTTTAGAGGATACGAAAAAAATATATGTAAGCATTAATATTTTTCCCGAACTTGTTTATCAGTTTTGCAAAAACTCTTTCACTGACATGTTTACATTTTGTTTGTGGCTTTCGTTTGTCGCTCATCTCACGCACCGCAATACCTATCATTTTAATAACTCCATTTAATCAATCAACTGATTACAGTTCGAATTCTGTCTTCTAGGAAATCGACCGCCATGTGCTAACAATGAGGACAGTCTTTCATAAATTTTTGGTAAGTATAGTTAGCGGGCACTTTTTTCTGTTTTTTCGGACTTAATAAATAATATTCAATTTACGTATCAATCATTAACTCCGATTCCATATTTTTGATGCTTTGAGTATTTAATCTTTTGACTGTGAAATACTCAAAAGTAAGATGCCATGTGCAGGATCTGAAACAGTAGTTTTTTCTGTGTACAAAATTACGTAATTGTTTTTTGCATTAAAAAAATTGGAACCACTCAATTGTCTTATTTTGGACAAAATAACCTTTTTTACCTCAATTTTTGTATCTTACAAGTGCTAATATTATTTTTAAGTTCACTTAAATATTAAAGCATTTACACAATAAATGTGGCACATGTAAAGTATTACACAATATATTGGATAATAATATGTAAATCTATATAAAATTTATGAGTCTAATGATATTAAATCAGGCGGATCGATGGTCCAGTACATTTATCGTTGTTCGATTCGCGATACTGGTTTCGATCGATGCGTTCTATTTCCGTGGGTTTTATTTTCCGCTCCGGTGTACGTGTACCTTGTGATTTATCGCTTTTATCGTGTTATTGATCGATTTAATTATCGAACGAGCTCGAAATTTCATGAGATTTGCATTTTTAGGGTATAAATCTGTTAGTGTTATATTTTAATGTAGTAACATAATCGAAACACAATGCATTAAGAATAATGTGCCTCCAATACTACATGAATATTATTTTATCATATACAAACATAACAAATGAAAAATTATAACTTATAGATAAATAATTTTGTTTTTTTTTTCAAATTTGAGATCGTTGAAAAGCGAAAAAATAATTTTTCCTTCGATCGTTCACGTAATCGAAATTAGTGAAAGTATTGACTGAAACGACCCCAATCGTTCGTACGATTTTCTTATTAACGAAATCATCGGAAACTATGTACTTATGGGAATAGTAAAATTATCGTAATAAAGATAACAGGCGCGCCGACGAATTTACGTTAATGCCAACGTGCCTATCACGAGTCATGTTGAAATCGCCTTAATGCGAAAGTAATAGTTCAATAAAGTTCACCACATATAAACCTATTGAAAAAAATAAAAATTACTTTAACACGAATAACAGCGCACGCAGTTTTGATAGACTTATTTTAAATATTCCATAAAATAGTAATGCTAGAACTATATAGCCAACATTATCGTATACCAACATGTTAAACAAATGTATAATGTGTAAAATAGAAATAAAACAATCATTAAAAAATTGATGTGAATATCTAGAAAAAGAAATGAAAAACATCAGAGCTATAGAAAATAAAAAAAATATTACACATTTATATTACCTACATTCAGAATTTTAACATAATTGAAACTATCAATTTTCATCAATTTTCGATAACCGTTTTATCTCTACTTTGCATACATTTGTTTAACACGTTGTTATACAATAATGTTAGCTCTGCAGTTCTAGCATTACTATTTTATAGAATATTTAAAATAAATCTATCAAAACTGCGTGCGCTGTTATTCGTGTTAAAGTAATTTTTATCTTTCATAATCAAACTCTGATTAGTGCTTTTTTTTTCATTGATAAATCAATATTAATTCATATGCATGTTTAAGCGTATCTATTTATCGTGAATTGTCACATCTGTTTACGCCCGACTAGCGCGTAAACGACATTCACACTAATTGTTAAAAAAACAAATTGATCTTATTGCGGCGGCGGTGGAATTACCGTAACGCGAGTAATCTTACCGTCGATCTGTAGTTTACGCCAATCGACGCGCCCGTTAAATTATTAACCTCGCTATGCCCTGATCGCTTATTACTCACGCTATCAAACTTATCTCTCATTAGCCACACCACAGCGTGGCTCTTGTACGATAAACTGGCCAATCAGAGTAACAGATCGAGCGGTATCTTTCGCGGGGATGGTATCGATTTAGAAGGCAATACTATTTCTCGCAGCCCATCGACGCACCGTGAGTCGTCGTTCATTTCATCGATGGATAGATCGTTTTCCCGTTAACGGACTCGAGAAAGCGATAGCTCTTGCTTGACATGTGCAATAAATCGTATATCTTATGTCAATTTATAATTGATTGTCGATTTGTGCTGACGGTAAGAAGCTTTTATCATGCTTGAATAGATATTATACAGCAACGTTTCGCTCTACTTTATAATGCGATTCTCGGAATTGTTAACGGGACGAAGATGTTGTGGAAAAGCGTTTAAAAGCATGTATGTAATATTAAAATACGTATTTCATATTGCAAATAATAAGAGAAATAATTGAGCCAAGCTATCAAATATAAATATACATTAAATATGCATAAGAAAATAGAAAAAACTTTTTGCTCTTAAGTTAATAAAAAAATAAGGTATATTAATTAAATTTGGGGGGGGGGGGAAGGTTAACCCCCTCCCCTCATGGGGCGCCACTAGTGTCTATATATTTTTATTTTCATAGACTACGGGCAGATCATCGTATTGAACTCAAGGTTCGATCGGGCAAAAAGTCACGAACAAGCCGTGTAATTGTTAGTCGATCGACAGAATGACAGTCTGAAAGTCATCGCAAGTGAACGAATGAAACAGACATGGCGCGCTATTGCGTATAATATCTTTATCGGAACTATTAAATTCTTATTAATATATTGTATTAATATTTCTTTCTTCAATTAAATATTATACCAAACAGCTCTCACGTTATTTATCCAATCAATTCACATCCTACTGATTCCACATAAATTTCTTTGCAAATTATGTTAGTGTAATTTTTACACAATCTACAAATTTATTCTAGTTTGCAAAAATAAAATGATATCTTTATTCGATTTAAAGCGTGTGAATTTCTAACGTACATTTGTTCTCCCTACAAATATATAAGATTTTGTTGCGCTGCTCAATGACTTTATTCACGAAGAGTCTGTAAGAGCGCGAACTGGTTGCTTATAAGCTCCACAACCAGTGTAAATAAATCCACGGAAATATGAGACGAGCTTTATGCAGTGACAAGTCGAATATCAGCATGCGAAATCGCATCAGTATGCTATCGGGCTGGAGAGTGGATAATATTTTGCCGACCGCCGCGTAAATACTATTTTATTCGTGATAATCTCGCTGGAACGCCGTTGGGCTTTCAATCGTTCTACGCGATTATAAATGTGACGTGGTGCGGCTTAAAGGCGCATAACTACTGAGCGTCAAGTATCGGATACGGTACTTCCACGAATTAGTAGCAAAGATTTCACTTTGATGATACCTGACTTCACGTATTTACGTTAAAGATCGCGCCTAAGTTTTTTCAAGATAGTCTTCAGTCTTAACTTCAGTTGTTCGAATGTTTTTAAATGCTCATTATGTAAAGCGCATCTTCTCGTGTCGGCGTTTGTCGTGTTAAACCAAGGAAAGACTCATATTTATTTGTGGCCAGGTGTTCATCGGCTAGTTGCTAGGCCGTTGCATATAAATTCGATATACATACAAACAATCTAGTAGGAAAGTCTGGGAACAATGCTGGAGATATGCATTGCTTATATAATATAATATAATAAAAATTTCATTTTAAAATCTATTTTGAAAAAAAATAATATATTATTCTCGATATTTCGGTTTAATCAAATTCGGAATTTTATCGTCAAGATGTTGCTCAAAATGAAGCGTAAATTTTTCTTAAGCCATTAGAATACATGATTATATCTAATATAAAAGTAGGAAAATGCGTATTATCGCGCTTACGTATGCACGTATATTTACATTTACAAACCATACTCGAGCATCCCCTACCCGACGATACATGCAAGATGTCGAATCGCATGCAGTCCGGCGAGTTCTCCTTCGTCGTAAAAGCCCGCGGCTATCTTATGGAAATTAACGCGATGCATGGAAATTGATTGCCTACAAGCTCGCGACGCATGCGGGAGACCTCCCGCAGTCGTCAGAATAGTTCCGATGCATGATGAAGGGTGCGATGCATCGCCGCGGCGTGCTCGTTCGACCTCGCAGGTTGGGGATCTCGCGGAGTTATTTCCCAAGAATGATTTATTCGGCGAAATTATTTTACTTACGCGCCGGAACACGCGCCGGCCGAGTAATTGCGACATTAGAGCGAGAAAATTGCGAACGATGGTGGTCTAGCGTGTGGCTCATGATGACACATGTTTCGCAAGCATTGTGAGCTATAGCTGTAATCTGCGGAGGTATAATTTAATTCGGAAAACAAAAAAATCATCGTATTGATTTTCTGACAAGAAAAGTTGGAAACTCACTGAGAAACTCGCTGAAATTGTTTGATAAGAATACAGGATTGGAAAATTTTAATATTAGAAGATTCAAAAGATTAACATCTCAATGAATTACTTTTCATAATTTTCAAACAATTTGATTATTTGGTGACGAGACTGCATAGTTCGATAGATAATATGAGATGTGTATTTTCTGATTTCATATTATGCAAATGAATTAGGATTACACGTTAGAAATTGAACACGTAGATATGTGCCTGCGAGCAACAACGTAAATGAAATGTGACTAATGTAAGAGCAAATAGATACTTATATTACGCAGACAATCTTTAACGGGGCATATTCAAACTTCGCGCAATTCTATGCCGTTAAGTTATTTAGATTACACATCGAAACTGCAACTTTTTTTTTTCAGAAGTTTAATAATTTTTCATTTGCTTGATATTAAATGCAAAAATGTGCTACAGCGGCTATAATTATCTTTTAATTACTAAATAATATGCTGGTGGCGCACTTATACTCAATAATAGCGATTTAATTGGGGAAAGCAAAGATGCGCTACAAAGATTGAACTCGATTGAACCTGCGCGTAAATGCATATTAGTTGCGTGCACGCACGGGTGGCAAAGTCACTTGAACGACGCCAGGCAGATAACTCGCTAATGGAGTTTAAATCTTCGGGTAAGTAATTGCTAATGGGGCAGCACGGGGCTGGGTTTTCATAGGGACAAATTATGCTAGAGATACAGAGTGCATCGCCAACTTCGTGACGATATCTTACAGAAAACTGATAGACAAGTATTCGTCCTTGGACGTTCCGATAATCAAGAGACTAATAACATGCTGGGATTCCGTCGCGATTTCTCTATCTTTCTCTCGTCAAATTACGTAACTCTTTGGAATTTTGCAAGATATCAACTTCTCAAATTTAAAT